ATTACTAACCACATAATCATATATTAAGCATAAAATGTGATGAACAAATTATATATGATCAATAAGAACTAGAAATGAGAATAGATCAATTTAAGTAAACATCATGTTCCATTGCAATCTTAATAAAAATTTAGTTCATAACGTAATTGAAAAAATGCATTCTCAAATTAATCAACATCTTAGAAAATCAAAAACTAAAAGTAAGAGAAAAGAATGAAAACTTAGTTGCAATCTTCAATCTCTCTTTATCCTTCAAGTCCAATCTTCTTCGCGTCGCTTCCTTTGATTCTTGCCTTCAATTCACTATCAATCCTTGATTAACCCTCTATTAGCAACTCCTCATATCAGTACATTTATATCCCAGCTCAAACTCTAGCATATATGTAGCATTAGAGTTTAATTTCTACTCAAAAACTAGTCAGAATTCATGTCCCAAGCTGAAACATGCGGTGCAGCCTCACAAATCAGTGCAACTGCACTGACTTTGTGCTCTTCTAGAGCTGCAGCGCTGCATGTAGAGCTGTGGCACTAATCCCCTTTTATGCCCACAACTGCCCTTGTTGCTTAATCCTCAATTAATTCAACACTTAGGCTACCAAATGACCTTGGTTCCTTCCAAATCATGATCCCTACAAAACAAAATTAAAACACACAAAACAAATAAAAAGAAACATAAAAATAATTAGAAAATTGCAATTTCATTAAGCCAAAAATACTCAATTCGTAGATAAAACCCACTCATCAACAACACCATGATCCTATCACCAATGAGATAGGACTTCGCATTAACCTCAACTTGGTGAGGGAGGAAAGAGAAATGGCCATGGTCTGGAACAAGCGCCGCATGAGAAGGTACTACAACTCGAGGGTGAAGCCTCGTTCCTTTCTACCAGGAGACTTAGTTCTCAAGAAAGTAATCCTCGCCACCAAAGATTTACAAGAAAAAAATCTTTGACCAAATTGGGAAGGACCCTACCTCATAACAGAAATTTGAGTGATGCTAGGTACCTATAGGATCTAGAATTCTAGGGGAAAAATCTTACCTCATCCATGGAACGCCGAGAACCTAAAGAGGTACTATCAATGACACTGAGGAAGGACAAAACTAATAAATTTAGGGGACTTGATTTTATCTTTTCAAAAGACTTGTACCTTTTTGGGTTATCACCCACCATTGCTTGGCATGAGCAGTTATCAAATAATTTTTTTTTAAATTTAGTCCAAAAGGTCCTTTGCATTATATTGGAATATCAGTGGCAAAAAACCACTCTTACAAAAAGTAAAGCTACACACTTCCTTTATACAAAAAAATAAATAAATCAAAAGTTCCCAGCACTCCAACTACTCTCATGACCGCCATCTTCCTCGTCCTTGCAACATCAGAGTCCCATCATTGATGAGCGCATAATATTGCATATTTAAAGGCCTCATTACATACATTTTAACTCAACTTTGTATTTAATTACTTAGAGTTAGTCGAAGTTGTGAATAATATGAAAATTTTAATGTTGCAAGTAATCATAGTGTAAATGCTGACTTTTGGAACCCTGCAACTAAGTGTGAATGAATGGTGAAGAGATGGACACATTACATGAGGATTGGGAGGCTTGGAAGGTGAAGAAACAAAGAAAAATAAAATTTAGATGAAAACCTTCCGGAAGGTTTAGTCCACTATTTTCCCTATTTTTGACACAATACCTTTGTTTTCCCATTTTTGACCATGATACACTTCAAATTTGAACAAATGGATGTCCTCTATATTGCATCAACATTTTATCTTAATCAGACGGTTAGATCAAAAGTTATGACAATTTTACGAAAACTGGTCTTGAGCTGGCATCTTCCAGAAGACATTCCAGAAGGTTTAGCCTACTGGAATGAACCTTTTAGAAGGTTTGCATCGACCTTCTAGATGGTTTTGCCCAGAATGCCTACAACTCATGCTCCACTTGCTTAGGGGTCTCACCTATAATTCTCTCACTTGTCCCCTAACATATTCTACATACATACATGCCTCTTACACCCCAAAGTCAGCCTTGGAAGATGGAGGATGAGAAAGGGGGAGAGAGAAGGATGGAGGCATGGTGGGTCTAGGCTAGGCTTGTCCTAGCCTGTCCAAAGCCAATCAACTCACCTCCCATTTATAGGAGGCCTTTACACAGGCTATGGGGAGCCTCATGGATGAAATTTGATGTCTCTCACACACCATATATGCAGCATTCACACAAGCTCTAAGGGAGGAGGCTACCTAAGATTAGAAGTAGTTTTAGAGAGATAAGTTCCCAATGAAGAAGATGAAGTTCTAGAGAGAAATTTATGTTTATGCATTTTCTTCTCCATTTTAGTTGTAGTAAGTTGAATTTCACTTGTAATCTTCATTTCTTGTATTGTAATCTCCTTTATTTCAAATGTATTCAAGTTTAATCTCATGTTCTTGCACTTTCATATTTTCAACTAGGTTTTATCTTTAAGCTTTGTTTTTGGTTATGAAATGAATTCTCCTTTATAGTTTAACTCTTTTCTTGTATTAATACTAGTTCCTTGTTTCATTTCGTAATCATGTCCCTTTACATTATGCATGTCTTTCCTTTTATTATGAGTAGCTAGATTTTAAGTTGGCTAATCAAAGGGAGAATTTTTCTTGGGTATGTCAAAGTAACCCATTTTCATTCCTCCTCGTAGTGTACGATGATTTGGTTTGACTAGGTTGAATGTGAATGTGGTTGTGAGTTCTTGATACACCGTAGACTTGTCACAGGGTATGCTTTAATCTTCACCTCTATTTTAGTCCTACGTTTTCTACGAATTAATCAAACATCTAGGCACCATTGGAGGAAGGTCTTGAGACGACCTTGGAATACTAATTCCAAGTAAAACACGACATTTCAAGATTCTCTCTACGCTTGGAGAGCCTAAAAATTCAATATCAGGAAAAGCAGTAGAAATTTTTCCCCGATGCTCCTCGTAGCCATAAATAAAGGCATCTGCAAGGCCGCCCTCTGAAATAGCCTCGGCCTTGGTGGCCCTCTCGTAAGCCAACTGCAGATCTGCCACAGCACAGGAAACTCTTTCGTGAGCTACTTTCACCTTTGTTTCTGCTCTCAAGCAGGCAGCCTCACCATTTGCCTCGAGCTTAGCGGTCCTCTGACGGGTCGTCACAAGCTCCGCCTCAAGCTTAGCGGCCCCTCTCGTGGGTGGCAATAAGCTCTACTTTAGCCCTTGTGCAAGCAACCTCTCTGAGCGTTGCCCTCTCATGTGTTGCCACAAGCTCAGCCTTGAAAGCCTTACCATCAACCTCGAGCTTAGCAATCTTCTCCTGAGCTGCTAGTAGCTCCCCTTTCACAGCTTCATAAACAAGCCTCTCTTACCTAACAGTCGAGCTCAGGTTGTTAATCTGAATGGCCCTTGAAAAAAGGCAAACAGAAGTAGCTGAAACCTAAAGAGGACAAAGAATGTTAGTACCTAAGGAAGGGACAAGAGCAAGGGAGGAAGAGGACCCTTACCTGGGCCAAGCCTTCCAGAACAGTGTCGATGATACCCTCAATGCCCTGAGCACCAACCTGACTACTATTTGTAGGAAATACAATCTCCCAAGTTGCTCCCTAACAATCCGCACGTCATCTAACATGGAGCCAGTTTGAGTGGATGCCCCAATAGAAGTCCCTACGTGAGGATTTGATGAATAGGGGGCGGGAGGTGTAGCTGCCTGAGGAGTTCCTGAAGGTGCAGTCACCATGATAACCTCTGCAGGATTCACGGACTGGCAAGGCGCCATTGGAGGGGTCATATGAGAAGGGCTCACTAGAACATCACGCACCCTAGCCATCTTAAGCTGAGGAGTACTCCTTGTGGACTAACAGGACACCACCACTGTCTTATCCACTACAGAGGAGTAAAGTGTTACCCAACAAAAAAAAAAAAACTAAGTGAAAGAAGATAATCCTAAGGGAATCAACAAGCCTTTTCTCCTCAAGGAAGAGCCGTCGGGCCTGGAAGAAGGTTCACCAACCCTAGCACTTCCAGTGGGAGAGTCTACAGTTCCACCCCTTTTAAGCATTAGGGTTTTGAAGTCCTTCACAAGGTGGCCTTCACGACTTGCAATTTCCATGCTTGGTCTTTTGAGAGCACCGAGGAGCCTAAAGAAATGTGATGAGCACACATTCGTAAAAACAAAGGAAAAAGAATAAGAGTGGGCATATCAATTATCTTGGGAGTGTCCCATCTTGTTGGTACCAAAGCCCAGTCAGCCTCTGAAACCCACTCTCTTCCAACAAACATAAAGTGAGCTTTCTCGCTATGGCAATTGGAGTGCAATTCAGTGATCAATTTTCCTCCCTTCAGAACGATGTAGTACTAGCCACGATTGGGAGTAGAAGTCTCACTCAAAGTATAAGCCGCACAAAACTCTTTAGAAGAAGCGTCCTCCTGATGCACCTTCCTTCACAATGCAAGGAATCCCAGTAAAACTCTCCAACCATTGGGCCCCAAGCACACTGGTGCAAGTAAAAAAAAATGGAGAATGAGACAAAAAGAAGAGGGATGGGAAACCTCAGCCCACCCTCAAGTACCTCCTCATAAATAGAAATATCTCCAGAGGAGTCATCACAGGCAGGCTCCCCCATTTCAGCTGGATGGCATAAGACCACAGGATGAAATCCATTCCATGAAATATCAGCATCAGAGTTAAGAGTGCTAGAAATGGTACTTACTTTGGATCCATCATCATTAAGAGCTACATTTCCTTAGTGTTTACTATAGTGCAGATGAAGAGAGGCACTGCTTGAACCTATACCAGGAGAGCCTTGAGAAGTTGGGGTCCGAGGGGTTCCAACTGAACGAATCAAACCATCCACTACCTGCCTGGAGTCGTTACCGTGGAAAATACCAGCACTTTTCGGCTTACTCTCCTCCGTGGCTCCGTGCCCAAACTCCATGATTTTGTGCCCAAGCTCCGTGGCTCCGTGCCCAACCTCCACCACCATGCCTGGCCCGCCCCAACGTCAACGTTTTTGTTGTGTCGTGTAGCATGCCTGCCTAGTTTCGCCCAGCGGCGCCATTGGCATGCTCACCTGGCTGCGCCTAACACCTGGTGATACCACCTGCGGGCTCCACTCTCTGCGCCCAGCTGGCCCTGGTGTACCTGTCCTTCCACAATCAGGCCGCTCATTGCACGACACCCATGGCGCCCCGCTTGAGGACGCCCATGGCGTCTCATCTAACGACGCCTCATCGATGCCTGCCCTCACTCCACCGATGCCCTGAGCTCTTGCCCCGACATTTGTGTTGCCTTGGGTCCCTACCTCTCCAATGCCGACTAGCCCCCTATTTCGCCAGAGTTCGGCTAGGCTCTTGCTGCAACTCACATCTCTTTTCCTTCAGTCAACATCTGAGCACTCATTTCAACTAGATGACACCTAGTGGGTCCAGCCCAAAAGAGATCCACGCCCAGTCAGGCTCATCAGGACTGTAAGAGCTACATCATTAAGGATTAGGCAATGTCATCCCAAGAGTCTCATCCATGCCGTCTTGGAAGAAGTCGACCATATCTTCCTTAGACCAAGTCTTGGGGAGAGCTTCGTAACTGCCTCAACCGTGCGAGGAAGATGCCAGCTCTACAAAATTAGCTACTTAGTTATTGAAAAGGCGCCTCAGTCTGTTAAGAGGCTCTATAAATTGTAAGCCCGCTAATGCATGGGGGCATCGATCACATCTTGTATCACCCTTGTCTTTCTCATAGCTTGTACCTCATTTTGTTCTCGTCTGATTTCCTTACACTCTTGTAGTAATAAAATACCCAGGTCATCCTAGCCCTTCGTAGTGGAGTAGGTTACGTTGACCGAATCACTCTATATCTGTGTCTTGCTTGAGTTATCTTTCTCTCCTTAATTACTGCATTAATTACTAATCACTTAGTAGGTGGTGCGTAATACCAATTTGTGCATCATTAGAGTTCATCTATTACTCTGATGGCAGCAGAAATTTGGGATAATATACTCAAGTTGGAACTCACAATAATTAGTCTTCCACCAACACGTCTGTAGTGGCATCAATGTCTCCACCTCTTTCTAAAGCAGCATGGCCAGTAGTCATAGGAAAAACATTCATCTCCTGCTTCATCTTCTAGCCATCAACTCTCTCTTTTCATGCTACGTTACCTAATCCTGGGGATCCAAACTCCCTCACTGGATCGACAACCCTGATATTAGCTGTAAAAATAATATTTCTTTCGAAATTAGATTCACTAGAGAATAGGTGACACCTTACAAACTTAAAAAGCTATGGAAGCCCTGCTATCCGTGGCAATGGAAAGAGGATGGCGATGCCAATGATGGTGCCAGTGATTTTCGTTACGCTTCAGGGAATCAAGGCGAGAAGCAGAAAGTTGCAGAACATATGTTGAGCTAGCAAATGGCATATGGACGAGGGGAAGATAATGGGGCTCCAAACTATGATAAAGAGGTCTCTCAGAACCACATTCCTTTGCTCACAACTGGACAAGAGGTATGCAAATAAGCTTCTAGTGTGTCTCTACTTTTGCATGCAATCTGAATAATGTTCTTCATGGTTTTGTTTTTAGGTTTCTGGAGAGTTGTCGGTAGCATCACCTGAAAGTCTTTTAATTTATTTATACGGTAAACTGACAATTATTAGTTTTAAGTGCATCGATGCATATTTATATTTTTGAAGGTATAAATTAAAATTTTTAATTTTTAAGGGTATAAATTGAAATTCGAATAATCTTTCAGAATACAATTTACGATTAACACTTTTTTTATAACTTCTTTTTTACCGTAGATGATGAAACTTTAAGTTGGGACGACTTATTGCGCATTTTATATTTTAATTTTTTAACCATAATAAACTTATTTATTTATATTTAGTCTTTTTGATATGGTGAACGTACTTACCATTTCAACACTTAGTTTTATTTTACCCAATCACTTATATTTTAGAAAAAAAATTTAAGTTTGTATGGGTTATCTTACCAAATAATTAATATGGCTTACTCAATTCCATCACATTAACAGGTCCAACTAAGAGATCTTCAACACTCACTCAAATGTAGACTCAAATTTAAATTTGAGTTAAAATGACTCAAAAACCTTCTCTAACCTTGAACTCAAAATTATACCAAATCAAGGCAAAATTTATTCTAGACCCACATTGAAGCATAATCAAATTATATACCAAATTTTTAACGGTAACTTTTTAATTTATCCAAAATTAAAAGAATTCTTCGACAACTTGTTCTCTGCCTCTTTTTACCTCTCTCTACTACGCTGCTTTCATTGTCGACAATTACTGAAGTTTTCACAAATCATTTGAAGGCAGAAGGTTTTTTTTTTTTTCATCTTCCATCTTTGTAATTTCTTATATTTTTTTAAAACTCTAATCTCATCCATCTTTCATATTATATAAACCCTAAGCATACCCATCAATTTTTTTGTTTGATTTTTTTGAGTTAAACACTATCGGTAGTGCAATTTCAGGCCATTGATTCTTCCTAAAATTTTAAGCCTTCACTACCCACNATTACTCTTTCACGTGCGTTGACTTTCCTTAAACTCTTGGATTTTGAATTGAACTGAGACAATGAACTAAGTCTGGCTTATTTTTTTGATGATATAGGCTTAACTCATAAACTAAACCTAGATCTGATTTGAATATGGGTTGGTCAAATATCACAAAAATCCTCTTCTACCTCATTATACTTGCTAGTGGGATACTTGCCATAACCTTTTAATTGTTAAACAATAATTCCATGTTGGCGAGACCCAAAAATGAAAAATCTCACTCTTGCTCTGCCAATCCACCACTTTCGTGGACATTCCACTTGTAATCATTTGTAGGTAAGTCTTCCCATTTTTCTGTGTGATGGATCAAACTGAAATCGAAGGTAAAATTTAGAGGCTAATTATAATATTTTCCCTTTTTTTTCTCTATCAATAGCACCACGACACATAATGTTGTTATATTTTATTCTTTCAACTAAAATTGATGACTATAAAGTATTTTTCAATAATGATGATGCACAAAATAGTTTTGCACACCGTCTGTCAAATGTGAATAATAAATGTCAGAAAATAATATCAGGAGATGGAGAGACACAGACAATTTATCTTGGTTCGGTCAGCTCGACCAACATCCACTTTTCAATGGCTCTGGTTGCCGGGTATTTTATTAACTTAAGGGTGTGGGGAGTAGAGAGTACAAGCTTTGAGGGAGAGGAGAAAGTCATGCTCAGGTAAAGTATGACTTGTCCCTCAAGTGTTGGTGGGACTTAAAATTTATAGTCGCCCTCCTAACAGATTTGGACAAGATATTAGTAAGTAGTTGGCTAGTTTATTGGATCTGACAAGTTCTTTTCAACGTGCTAGACAGTTGTGGTACTCTCCATAAGATTCGGTCAAAGAATAAGGTGGGGTGTTGACCATCTACAGGACAGCGAGGATAGGGCTTTGGATGACATTGCTTGCTCCCTTAGCTCCTTGAGCAGTTGAGCTTGACTGGGTTGACCACACTAATGAGCTTGATCGGGTAGAGTTGATGAGCTTGAACGGGTTGAGTTGATAAGCTTGACCGAGTTGGCCACACTGGGCGAGATTTGCTGGATCTCTTGGAGTCGAACTATAAACTTGAACTGAGCTTATAACATGAGTTGGGCCTTTGGGCTTGGCTCATCATTTGTCCCCTAATGCCATGTGTCCAATGAAACTTGGAAAAGAGGGCATTCGATTAAGTTTGAATTTTCGGTTGATCGGCACAATTGAAAAAATTTCGGGAGGCCAAAACATCTGCTTCCAAGTCTTTTTTGGACTTTTTACAAAATCAATTACAGCCAAAAGCCTATGATTCTTGTAGGGTTCGCCGAGAGCTTCACTTTGATATATTATAAACCTCATTTGGAGTAACGGAGCAGAAGTTACGGTCAAAATTTCGAGCAAAGAGCTAGGCTAGTAGTTTGGGCGAGCAGGCAGCTTCAGGGTGAGTTGGGTACTGTCCTGGGCGAGTTGGGTAGATTTTTTTTTTTCTAAATTTCGAGAGGCCAAAACATTTGTTTCTGGGCTTTTTTCGAACCTTTTACACCATCATTCACAGCCAAAGGCTTTAGGTCTTATAGGGCTCGTCGAGAGGTTCGATTTGATATAAAAACCCATTTTTGAAGTTACAGAGTAAAATTTACAGTCAAAACTTCGAGCAGGCAACTAGGCGCGCGTTTTGGGCGAGCAGACAATGTTTTGGGCGAGCCTGGGACTGTCTTGGGCGACCTGGGGGTGCAGCCTTGGCGTTGGTAGGGGTTGACTGGGCGCGAGCCTAGGCATCAGGAGCTGGAGGTGTAGTCTAGAATGCTTGGGCATCAGGTAATGGAGGTGCAGCCTGGGATGTTTAGGCATCAGGAGATAGAGGTGCAGCCTGGGATGCCTGAGCATCAGGAGTTGGAGGTGCAGTCTGGGCTTCAGGAAATAGGGGTGCAACTGGGATGCCTAGTCATCAGGGGCCAGAGATGCCACTTTAGACGCTAATTTGGGAGCCTTTGGAGCTGTTTTGTGCAATTTTGGAGGGTCAGGCAGCTTTGGGCTACCTCCATTTGGGCGAGCAAAGGTGGTCAGACATCTCTTCAAATGCTCAAATGCTGGGCTATTTCGTTTGGGCGAGCATAGAACGTCAGGCACCCCTCCAAGTGTTGGGCTGGTTCATTTGGGCAAGCACATAGGATCAGACACCTCTCCAGCTGTTGGNGCGAGCATAGAACGTCAGGCACCCCTCCAAGTGTTGGGCTGGTTCGTTTGGGCGAGCACATAGGATCAGACACCTCTCCAGCTGTTGGGCTACCTCGTTTGGGGAGCACATAGGATCAGACATCTCTCTAGGTGTTGGATGGCCTCATTTGGGCAAACATGTAGGATCAGGCACCTTTTCAGATGCTGGGCTACCTCGTTTGGGCGAACACATAGGATCAGACACCTCTCTAGGTGTTGGGCTGCCTCGTTTGGGGGTGCATAGAGTGTCAGACACTTCTGCTTGCCTGCCTCGTTTGGGCGTCTTGGGTGAGCTTGATTGTGATGACAAAAATAATGTTATTTCAAATATTAAAATATCTCACATAATTACCGATGCTAGCACAAATGAAAGAAGGTCACTCCAAATGCAACATAAAACATAGTGTGCCAATTCTATCGAATTTTAATCAATTTAAATTGCATTTTAATCAGTTCGAACTTTAATATGTAAAAAAAATATAAATTTGAATTGACACGAATTTTAATGCGTAAAAAACGAATTTTAATCAGTTTGAATTGAAATTTAATACGTAAAAAAATATAAATGTTAATCGACTTGTATCGAAGTTTAATCAATGATAGCAGTTCAGGATTGAGCTCAAATCATCTTGAATTTTAAGACGGAAAAAAAAAAAGAAATTTTAATAGGCTCAAATTTTAATATGTAAAAATATATATTAATTAGCTCGAATCTATTTTACTAGGCTCAAATTTTAATATGTAGAAAAATAAATTTTAATCGATTCAAATTTTAATATATAGAAAAATAAATTTTAGTCAATTCGAATTTTAAATAAATTTTATGGTAAACGAGAAAAGGTGTGACTGAAATATTTTCTAGAATTTTATGTGATCCTTTTTTTTTTTTTTCCAATAATCATATATTTAGTGTTAATCTTATTTTTGCACCAAGATACTCTAATTTTTAACTTGCACCCTTAAAGAACTAGATTTTTAAATTACACCCTCAATGCTATGAAATAGATGCAATGTGGCCCCATTTCAAGCTCAAATTACACCCTCAATCTTAAATTTTACCTTGATTGGGCCACATTGCACATATTTTATAACATTGAGGGCACAATTTAAGAATTCAATTCTTTAAGGGCATAAAGTGAGAATTATTGTATCTTTCAGGGTATAAAATAAAATTAGCCCTACAATTTTTTGTTTACCTGGTCAAGAATCTCCTTTCATTTACGCCTATCCATTTCCGCCAATCCAATTATAGGAATTTATGAGTCCTATTCTTTCTGGTCTCCCACTCCCACGATCATGATCCCTCCTTCTCCGCTCATAGCCACCACTCCCCCTTTCTTTCGC